TGGGATCTGATCCTGGTAGGTTGTGTAAGTTTTGTTCATGTTGTCTCGATGTTGCGACTTCGGATCCTAAGAAGGGCCGATGCTTGAGTCGTCACCTGCAGTTTTTTCGATCAAGCGCTTGGTTCCTGTGACATTGGAAACTCTGCGACGTCGGCACTCCGTGGGTGTACACCCTAAACCCTAAGTACCAATTATAATGTTGGATCTTAATCAGCGAAAACACCCCCTAGATCCCCCATTAATTATAAAGGGCATTTCACTGCATTCAGGTTTCATTTCATTGTATTCAGGGTTTCAATTCTTAGTATATCATCCCTTGGCAGGGGTGAAGCGGTTTCAACCGCACTAGGCCACTCAGCCAGATCATGCACACATCATTTTCCGTTGGCGGTCGTCGCTGCCAAGTTTGTTCAATTGCTAGGCAACTATCCCATGTCTCCAGTCGAGCTGTGGCGGTGCATATAGCATCTGAAGCTAGCTATCATGACAAGATTTAAACAATGACCATCCTGAAGGAAGCCATTTCATCACCAGTCTATGCCCGCTGGAGATTCCTCCATGAGGCCTGGCTCATTCTCTAATAGTTTGAGATTTGAGATCATTAAGGAACCCAAAAAATCTAAAGAGCACGGACTGCAATCAACTCTTCAACTATTCATTCCCTGAAACATTGGCCAGCTCATGGCAGATTGAAATCAAATCAGTCTCAAAACTGCACCCTCAGGCAGATCAATGTCATCATCCAAGAAATATAACGGTTTTCCTTGGTCGGTCAGAGGGCTGTTCCATGTTCCACAGGCATGTGAATACTCTATACTCACCGTAAGCTGCAGCTTCACATCACAGAACGCTCGGTGGTTAGATTGTGCCATGAGTCTGGGAGATATCTCCTGAGATGAGATGCACTGCACTCAGAGCTTCCCGGGGGCGGGGGGGGAAAAAGGACAAGAACATATGCAACGTGTAAGGACAAAGGACATTGCTCGCTTTCACGTAACTGACACGCCAGATCCGTGAAAGTCGCCGACTTGCATCGAGTTCCTTAAAGGTCATTTCTCAGAGTTTGTTTATTATACATGACCCACAAGAAGTTCAAACTTAAAATGAACCAGGTGGCGGCAACATCGAAGGCAGATGCACAATTTGTAAATTTATAGTTACCTCCCAACCCAGAGTACTGGTAGAAGACAGGTGTGGCTTTCGGCTTGATCAAGTACTGCTGCACACCTTTGATTTTGAAGTACAAACAGACTTGAACTCAGAACAGTTTCAAACGATATCATGATATATCATGGAGAAGCTGAGTAAAACACCCTCATCGGTCAACGGACCCACCAGCTCATGTCCATTTATTGTTGGATCGCTGACCTTCATTTCCATAAGCTCATGCATGAGATCAGTCCACGAGCACCGATCGGAATCCGAGGTCGCTTTCGAGTTCTCGCCCTCATCTGGGACTTCGAGGACCACATGCTGGGCCGCGCTCGTCCATTGGCAGGTCAACACCCGGGCTACTTCACCTGGCATGAAAGACTTTCAAAGGTGATGTGTCCTCTTTTGAGTTTTAATTTGAGGCCCACTGTCAGAAGACACTGCAATGCATAATAATGTGTTTGGGAACATTGAGGTATTTGTGTGTGCTTCCATGAGCCATGATAACAGTTTCCCGTGTTCAGTCTTAATCGCACGGACTGACCCTCACGTTTTTCAAATCCTCCTGTCGATGCACGTCGAACTGCTAAAGAGCAAAGCACCTGTTACCCCTAGGGTGTCTTGCTAAAACCACGGCTGGTTCTCCAGCATGAAATGAAGCTAAGCCAGTCTATGTCGCTGGCAGGACCAAAACAAATGATGGCTACCGTACTGTCGGTCTCCATGCTAGCATACTTAGTTGCCTGCTGCTGCGTCGGATCCACTCTGATCGCCCGAAGATTCCTGATCACCAGCATCCTCCGGCTCCGGTCGGGTTTCCGACACAGCTGGCTCTGAAACAGGGCGGAGCTTTCTGGGCACCAGGCGACGACGGCTGAGTTCACTATGGCTCATGTTTTTGATGCTGTTGATCCGCTCTGGGTGCGTCTTCCACCTGGGCCCAGATATGACCAAGTTTTTGAGGATATACTGTAAATATAAATTTACAAAATACTAAACACGTTGAGGAGGAAACTTCAGGCGAAACACAAGTAAGTAGGACTGAGGGCTGCACTCAGCCCTTGCCATTTCAAGCACCGCCGTTTTCGAGAGTTCGGGATTCTCAGCTTGCAAACGCTCTTTTGCTTCCGAGATATGCTTCCAATAGGTATCCCTCATTCCCCTTCGGCCAGTGCATCCTGGCTTGGCCTCCCAAGTCGAAAATAGATGCATTGGGTTCATTTGACTCATAACGTGAGCAACAAACAGCAAAATATGGTTTAACATAATATGGCGCCGGAGTTCTTTTGATGGGTGTGAGTCAAACTGAAGCGAACCTATGAGGAGCCAAGTCAATCCTTGCCTTCTCTTCTTCATGTTTTTCCTCAGTGTCTTCCTCCACTTTTTCCTCCTTCTTGTGATTCTTCTTTGTACGTCCCTTGTCCTCACGACCAACCTCTGCTGATCGTTTCCCTTTTGCTGTCTTCCTCTCACTCTTAAGGCCACTGTTCACTTCAACCACCTTCCTCCGTTTGGTATCAGTGGCGCTCTCGGCCTCTTCAGGATCCTTCCTCTCATTCGTTTCCTCTTTGGCCTTGTTGTTGACCTCCTCTTGCTCAGATTCTAGGAAATCGCTCATGCGCAGAGTCGTATCATCATCGGTCTTGCTGTCCTCCTCAACTTTCTCATCTTCCGTCTTCTTTGACCTCCTCTTTTTGTCGTCCCCTTCTTGGATCATCTTCTCATCTCGTTCTTCTGCATCCTTGC